CCGCACGGGGACAAACCAGTCTGCAAAGTGATGTGTCCTTTCAACTGAATGCAGGTTCAAACGGGACTAACCCTGTGCAGAGACCACAGAGAATCCTATTCTTTACTTTGAGCTAATTCAAGGAGAGCTTAAAAAAAGGCTGGGGGGAGGGGAGGCATGAGCCCAGTAGCAGCACTTAATTCATATTGTCTTAGATAAATACACATATCACAATGATTTTTAAAAGAACAACACCTGAGATGAGCTGCAGTTCTTAGAATGGGTAAGTTTAAGACAATTTCACACACACACATATATATTAATATATAATCTAAAACTTTTTTTAATAAAACAAAAACCATAAAGGTCTTTAAAATGCCATTGACCAATTTGTGTAGAATAGTCATAAGTCATGTTATATATTACTGAATTTATAGCTTTAATAATGGTCTTTATGTTGTGTGTATGTATGTATATATGGATATACATATAAAATATATGATGGATATCATTGAAGGATAAACAATTAATTCTGATTTTCTTTTTTAAAAATTGACTTTATTGGGGTGACATAGGTTAATAAAATTACATAGGTTTCACATATACAATTCTATAATACATCATCTGTATATTGCATTGTGTGATCACCACCCCAAGTGAAGTCTCCTTCCATCACCATTCATCCCCTCTTTACACTCTTCTACCTCCCCCAAACCCCCTGATTTTCAAAACTTTTTAAGTTTTATTTTTTCATATTATTTCCACATAGTTTAATAGGCTTAAACCCAGGCATATGAATGTTTTTCAAAATCCTTTCCATACATTCATTAGTTTCAGGGTTGTATTTTTACACTCATAATAGTGTAATATGCTAAGTGCTAAGTTCTGGTGATGTATTTGAAGTATCCTAATACTTTGTTTTTTGCAGCAAGATTTATTTTATACTTAACTATATGAAATATCCTTAGAAAAGCCACATTATAAAAATTCTTTATGAAGAATATTAGGGTGCTCTGGCAGCGAAGAGCAGTTGAGAATTTGGGGATCTTTACTTCCACGTGTTCCTTGAGCTGCCGGTCCATGCTCAAACATAGTTTTACCAGCGCTTTACGAGGCTCTCTTACCTCACGTTTAAAATCAGAGCGCTGTTCTTTGCATCAGAGAAGTATTGTGAGGGATCACTGAATGTTCTGAAAAATACTTGAGCATCTTGCAGGGAAGAGAAATTAAGATCTGGAGAACGAGTGGTGTTTGTACATGTCCCTTGCAACTTTACCTGGGGAAGAAACAGCACGAGGTGTGGGGCACCTAGTGGCGGAACCGCTGAGGACAGGAAGCCTCATCTCGATATTCTGCTCTTCCTGTCTTGATGGGAGATATTCCTGTCTTTATTTCTGGATCAGGATGACAGATGCTGATGAAATATCAGCGGTATAAGGAAATAGAAATGAATATTGATTTTTTAAGTTACTTTGACAGTTTTGATTTGAAAGAGGCCCTTTTCTGTACCAAACATATGGTGAAGAGTAGGGTGCTACCCATCAAATGGGTGCCAGAGGGCACAGATATCCTGTGATTAAATTGACTAGTGGCTTTAATCTCGACCTTCCCAGCAACCCTGGTCTAAAAGTAAGTAGGCACTCTCGGGTTCCTATGGAGATTTTCACCATGCTTTTTGGCTAACCCCTGAGGTGGCTGGTTTTCCCTTGAACCATTAACAGATAACTAGAATTGTTAACAGTAAGATAATTGATAAGTACTAAGTGTATATTTCTATTTGTTGTTGAATATGGGTGAAAAATGAGTGCTTATATATAACTGGGCTAGCAAATATCTAATCATGTATAAAATCATTCTAAAGGATTGGGATATGGGAAAAGTCCAAACCACAAGATTTAATTGTGGGGATTAAATGACTTCAGACCAACCAACCAACCTGGGATTTTGGGGATCATGTAGAAAACTGGCTAGGACATCAAAACTGGCTAGGACATTTTACAGTGGATTAAAAATAGTTGCATTTTCAAGAGCAGGAATCCTGTATGGGAAAAGATGCTTTAAAACTCATTTAGACCTTTTAAATTTGAACAAGGTTATTTACAAACTAGATACATCCAATTTTCATTCAGTAATGTCTCATGATTTTTAAATCTATTCTAATGTTATCCAGTGATTTTTAATGAAAGCATAAAATGTTCCTATGGCTTTAAATGATCAATTTCTTATCATAATTTTTAAATATTGAGTAGGTAAGTGGTAGGTAAATTGAATAATTTCTCTGTTGTGCCTTGCATGTTTTTTTGTTTGTTTTTTGTTTTGGTCATTGTTATTTTGATTTCATTTGTTTGTTTTGGATACATACTCTGTTTTACCTGCTTCTACTTTTTTGTATTCATCTTTGTAGAGACCATCATAATTTTGGAACTTGAATCCTTTTGTACCAGAAATAAACAGTTGTATCCTGACCTTCAGAAACTTACTTTATCTAAATTACAGTGGCTATACACTGAAATAGGACCTGCTTTCACAGTTCAAAAAGTTTTCTTTGCTGTTATTTTCTTATGACAGTGACTGAGTTTAATAGGAAAACTTACCTCTTCTGACAAAGTCACATTTTTAAGATGGCTAAATTATAAAAGGCTTCTCTCTGATTCTTTTACAGGCGACGCAGATGATGGGGAAGAGTATGATGACCCTTTCTCTGGGCCTCCAGACACTATTTCGTTAGCCTCAGAAAGATACGATAAAGACGATGAGGCCCCCTCTGATGGTATGTGATACTTTCCCATGGAATGTACCCATTGACACTCACACCAAACAGCACAGTGCGTGGAGGTGGTGGTCTTGCCAGAAAGCAGGTCAATGCGGAGGCTTCAGTTAACTTATCTCTCCCGGAAGCTTTTAAGGAACAGAAGAGCTCTCTCTAGTGGTTTTCCTAAGTATGTAGTTCCTTCATTTCCTAGGAAATTTTTTTGACTAGAATTTTTAGAAGAGTGCTTGCGTCATCGTATGCCTATTATTAGTAAGTTTGTTGGTTAATTTAATATTATAAGATTCTTGCTTAATGTTATTATGCTGCTAATGGCTTGCTGTATTATTTATTTTATAAATAATGAAAAAGGTTTTTGATCTCTTTTTTCCCCCTGAAAACTTCATACATAATTAGTTCATAAAATATTAAATTAATTATTCCGACATTGCCTTCTCACATGGAGACAGGTTTCATCAAATGCTTCTTTTAATATACATTTTCATTTTTCTGAATGTCGCCTAAAAATGCCCCACATTATGCAATAATATTAGAGTGCTTTGTATTAATTGAATTAGTGATATAGTTGATTGCTTATCTCTTTGTAATTCTTAAAAACTTGCCAAAGTTATGAAACTTGTTTTTCGTGTAGTGTGTGCTTTCCCTGGTATAGCCAGTTGAGTGCATCTGTGTCATAGAGACCTTGTCAGGGTGATGTGTAGTTATAAATTAAGACTGTGTATCGATAAATTAGCCATGCATATTAATTTGTGGCACTCAGAGTTTCGCAGAGACATAGAAATGAGTAATGCCTTCTGCCACTCTATGATGATCAAACTGTGCAGTTCCGTCTCTAAATACAATTGCTGAATGAAAATATGCTTCCTGCAACAGAGCACTCCACATTTTATGTTATCCAGATTATTCCCTTTGGAAACATAAATTGCTTTTATGAGGTATAAAATTATGTCTATTGCAGAACAGGGATAAGTCAAGTACATGCATAAGTGATAAACATTCTAACCACTGACTCAGAGCAACACAATCTTTTCTTTATATTCAGAACTTTGTACAGTGTGTAGCAATAATAATCATACCCATTTATGTTGAATTTTACATTTTGGTAAACATTTAATTTCTATTTTTAAAGGGAGGGATTTTTTTCTCTTATATTTTCTATTTTTTAATAGGACACCCTCTTCTTTTCCATCACACTTGCTATCCAAAAGAGAGCATTTCCCTTCTAGTCTGATCTTTGAAAGCATTTCTACTAGAAAATTTTTATACTTGTTAAGTAATACTTTTAGGCAAAACAGTGAATTATTGTTTGAGTTGAACTATCTTTCAGGCACATGACAATGATTTGTTTTGCTTCTCTGTAAAATCTTGGTAGATAGAAATGAGTATGTGATGTGTTTATGTATACGTATACAGAGAGAGACTATTTATACTCAGGAGAATATATTCACACACATGGAATATATTCATAGATTATATATACTCAGGGTTTTTCAAAATAGTATAAATATTTTGATGTTCAAGGGAACTTATCTGCATTCTTAAAAATATTGCAACCTAAGAAATCTAACAATTAAATATTTCTGAGAGCCAGTGCTTTGTTAGAAAAAGTGAATTGTTATTAAATTATAGAGCATTTACATGATTATTGTTTTTCTTTTTTATGAATAAATAAATTATTATGTTTATTTCATACCCAAATATACAGGAAATACATTAATAGCATGAAAAAATTTGTTAAAATGTTACTTTATAAATATTTGAATATTATTTAATAACATATATGTATAACATTAAGTTTCTTGTTAAATATTGGTGCATTTTCATTAGTGTTTATGTAAGAAATTCTTAAGCAGATTACAAATTTAACTTTTAGTATTACTCATTTTTGGTACATAAATAATACCATTTTTGATAGTTTTATATTTTCTTCTGAAAATATTATAAGTTAATTTAAAAACTACCACTTGGACTTTCAGTTTCCACTCTAAAATATCATCCATTCGTATCAGTTTTTCTCTCTGCAACTTGGATTTCTATGTGTTCTCTTTCCTTTGCTGAATAAATTTTCCTTCATTATGTGATCTCAGCCTAATGATATATTAATTATGAAAAGATAATGCATTTAACAATAAGTATAACTAAATTAGCACAGGTCACCCAAAGGCCTTTTGTCAAATCAGATTGTTGTTTTGTCCTTTTGACTTTTACCTTATGGTAGGCACTAACAAAATATCTGAACTTTGATGGATGATAAACCCTAAGCATGATATGTATTTTTCATAATGCTAATGCAATTTTCAAGGCCCTGGAAAGGTCAAACCTGCACATCTCCGTGTGCATTCTAAGTCTGTCTTTTCCTTTAATGTTTCTTTTTCTCTGTTTCCCTGGTTCAAAAGTTCACTCAGTTCCCAAATGGCTACCTAATTTTCCAGTTATTCCCTCAAGCCATATGTGTTTTGGTTTCTTTATGGTTTATTAGGTACTGTAGGAAAGTAGCATAAGTTATATCTTCTAATGAAATTCAAGCACACTTCAGTGATGCTTCGGCTTGATTGCTGGTAGCAATTAAATCACAGCCAAGGAGAGCAAGGCATAATCTCACAAGGTCCAGACACCCTATGGAAATGGAAGGGGAATGAAAACAGAAAACAGAAACAAAGTCTCCCCACCCTGCCAGACACGCTGTTTCCAGCCTGCCTTTTTTTTTTTTTTTAATTTATTGGCCAACTGCCTGATTGATAGCGAAATCATAACTTGCTGCATGCTAACAGGCAGAGTTCACGTGTAGGTTATTGTGAGCTGATAAAGGGTTAGATGGAGTTTTGATTTTCGCATTGGACCTTGGTGCACCAGATTAATGGAATTTCAATGAGAGACTAGAGTAGCCACAGCTTTGTCAGAGAAACAGATGGAGATTCTATAGTCATGTCTACTCATTAATACTAGTTGCCTGAAAGGTGTGCTGCTTCTCTATACAAAAGAGTTGATATAATTGATTTTTGAGTGGTGCATTGAAAAAAAGTACCTTATTGATGACTAGAATTGTAACATAGATGGTGACAGATTTTTGTATAGCTTGTAGCTTAAAAAATATCGTACTTTGCCATTTTTTCTCCTCTCTCTTTGGACATGCTTTTTATTTATTTATTTTTTTTGAGAATACATTTTAAGACCAGTAGCAAAAAATGAGATAACGACATGCTAAATTACCTTTTAAGAAAAGGAACAAGAGTCTGTATTGTATTTATAAATGATGAGATGATTGCTGTGTTTCATTTTGATATGGTAATATTTATTTAAAAAAATCATGCTTATTAGACATGTCATTTTATTAGCTTTGTGCTTTATTTGTTCTGGAAAATTTAAAACAAATCACAATGGGTTCTAGGCTATCACAGACCACTGTTAAAAGTTTTGTGCTATTGTGTGTCTGGATATATCAAAGTGTTAATATAAATGGAGCATGTCAGTAATCAGATAAAATTAGAGATAATGAAACTCAAGGCCTTAAAGAAGCATATCCCTCAGTGTATAAGTGTTAGAATGTTTGGGCACTAAGGTGGTAGATGCAGGGCAGCCTTTAGACACTAGAGAATGACTTGGGTATCCATTTTTCTATTCTGGGATGATTTTTCATTCATTTTCATCATTTGAGAAAGAAAGCTTCTAACCATATAGCACGGTGGAAAGTCCCTGAGGTGAGGTGAAAGGGTTTAGCGAGCGGGAAGACGTATCGGCCCTGCCCGTCGATGATAGGTCGAAGGATCCCAGTGGACATTTGTTACAAATCTGATTCAGCCCTAGACCATAATCACTTTGTGGATAAGAATCTGGAACCTCTAGGGTGTGAATATAGGAAGGCTGAAATGAAGCTAAAGAGATAAAACAGTCATTTATTTAAAATTTTTTTTTTATTTGTATTGAATTTATTGGGGTGAAGAGCAGTCCTGGTATATTCCACATAAAAATTCCCAAGTAACATAGGTTACTGAAAACTGGGCATTGCAAGGACATAGGTTTATATGAAAAAAATATTAGTTTAGAAATGGAACTATTTTTTAAAGCTTGGAGTTTAAGGGAAAAAAGTGTTTTGATCATAATTTATAAGGGTAAATAATGATTTTCTTCTTTTTTGGTATACTTTAAGAAAATCTAGTGTATAAAAATTTTGATTTATAAAACATATAAATCACTTATTTCAAAGGAGTGCTTTAAAAAGAATTATCTCCGGGATGCCTATAAATAATGAACTCACTTAATGCATCTAAGACAAGTTTAGCTATAAACCCATCTGCACATAAATTTAATGTGTAAGTTTTTACACACTACACATCAAACTTTTGAGGAAGATTTTTTTTTTTGGCGTAAAATTAAGTGTAGCACTAATCACTTCTTGTAAAAGCTAAGCAATAGAAATGCTTTACTTTTCTCTGGGTTCCAGCAGAATATGAAACAGTGTTTAAACCAAGAAAAAAGGTTCTTTCAATAACTTACAATTTAAGGTGTTTTTCTACTATAGGATCATGGTTATTGGTCATTAAAATCATATATTTGTATTTTATTCTGATAATTTAGATTAATTTGCGACCTGCACATATCTGTGTGTATATGGCTCATATTGTTGCACTTGTTGTTTTAACTCTTTTTTGTTATTTCAATATACCAGCTGCTGGTTTGTGTGTATTATAGCAGTACAGAAACAATGGTTATTTTAGTCCTTCTGTAATGGGTATAGCATGGCTTCAAGTACTTTGGTAAAAGTGAGAGGTTATAGTTTAAGGAAATGATAAAAAGTAGAGACGTGTTTACACTCAAGATATGTGTTGTGTGATCGGGGATATAAAGTACACAGATGTGAAATGTTTTTATGATGCAAAGGTATATATGAAAAAATAAAAACACATAGCCACTGAGGATCATCTTTCTAAGTTTTATGCCATTGAATGAGAAAATGCATCAGAATGAAACAGTGTGGGCAAATAAGACTATAACAAAGTGGG